GGGACCACGGCCAGGCCCGCTCGAGCGGGCCGGCTTGTCCCTGCCAGGAAAGGAACGTTCGTCTACTGAGCGCCTGCTACGCGCCAGACGCATGCACGGTGCTCCACGCCCGTTCTCTCATGTTTTCTGGTCACAGACTGTCCAAATCTAGGCCGTCTTGGTGAGATGCTTTCAGGGCCCATGAAAACACGCCCAGGACCTCAGCTGTCCCCGGGCGGCGGGAGTGAAGCGCACGTCACAGGCAGTCCGCCATGCGGGGGCGCCCCTCCTGCTCCGAGGCCGCCTCCTCCGCCCTCGCCGGCGTGGCCCAGTTCTCGGAGCCGCTGAGTAACTGACTCACAGCGACGGACGGGGTGGGTGTGAGGTAGTTCCCAAGAGCGTTTATACCTTGAATGGGAACAGGAAAGAGCACCGCTTGCTGCGGGGAGAGCGGGCAGGGCTCCCTGCCGAGCCCCTAAAACAGCTCAGGTTCGCGGAAGGCGCCGGACACGGCGGTCAAACGACCACCCGACTGCAGGCCACTCCTCCCCCGGGGACCGGCCCCAGAGAGCCCACATGGTGAGGGCCAACCAGGGGACACCAGGAGGGGAGCATCCGCCGTGACACGCACCGTGGGTCTGGGGGCGCAGCACCCGCCGGACCCCAACTGTCCTGGAAGCCAGGTCTAGGCCTGAGAATCGCCGCGGGGAGGCTGGACGTCCCCGGCAGGCCTGCGGGCGGGGGAGCTAGGGGCTGGGGGCCGGGTCGGGGGGACTAACAGCCGGTGCCCTGGAGCGAAGACGTGGCCCCGATCTCCTCGAGGCAGGGAGCTGGCCCCGGCTCTTCATGCCCCCTGCCTCCTCTGGCCTCTGAGGAAGACGCCCCCAAAAGGACCAGCTCCCGCCTCAGGTTGGTGTCTGGCTGTGACCTCCCGCCTCTGTGCACCGGGTTCTTATTAGCCGCGTCCCACAGTCGCCTGGGGCCGCCACAGCGCTAAGCAGCGCAGAGGGCCGTGAGGCAGCCCGCAAGTCACTCAGTGGCAGCGATTTCCAGGCTGCCGGTCCCCACCAGGGCGTCTGTTGTGAGAGAGGCGGATCACGTTAAAAGGCTGGAAGAAAAATCAAACTGGATTTCTGCACACACCGCCCGCGCCCCCCCAGTGTTTGCCTGGTCGACTCAACTTCTCCGGAGAGAACACAGTCTCCCACCTTCCCCAGGCAACCCTCGCACCGAGGAGCCATCTGAAGGTGACACCCGGGTCCTCCCGTGCTGAGCTGGGGCCGCCACAGGCCTCGTATCCCACGATTCCACAAGTGACCTTAAAGCCGGTCGTGAGAGCCGCTTTGCAAACTGAAAACAAAGTTGCCAGCCCTCTGCACAGAGGCAGGCGGGACGTCTCGGGACGGAGCGCAAGGCCGCCGCCCGGCGAGGGTGATCGAGGTCAGGGCCTCGGAGGCTGAGGGGAACCCGCTCTCGGCGCCCCAGGGCGGGGCAGTGAAATCCGGGCTCCTCGCCCCCCTAATCACAAGAGACGGACAGTGGATTTAAACCGAACACCCTGGGGACGGAGGCCTCTGACATGTGACCGCAGGCTGGCCGGTGACTCCAGGGGCTCTGGGCGCCCGTCCGTGGACCGAGCCACCCTGAGCGGGGACAGTGAGCTCCCCGCACGCACCGCGGACGTGGCCTTTGTTCCTGCTCTCCCAGGGCGGCCGGGCCTCATGGTCTGTTAGCGCCTCCCGGCCCGGAACGCCTGTCTCTGACTGGGCACTTGGTAGAAGCTCAACAAAGGCTTCAACAACGTGCACAGGGGTGTGGACACGGCAATCAAGACCCCCGGCCACCTGAGGTCCAAACGCCCACCCAGAGGAAGCCCTGAGAGGCCCAGAGCTCCCGGACTCCTCAGCCGGGAAAGCCGCGGTTCCTGCCGGCTGGTGGGAGGTTCCCCCGGACCCCACCCTCCGCTGCGGTGTCTGGGGCCAGCTCCTCTTCCCTGGGCCCTCGGGCCTCCGCAGGTCCCCTCCCTTAAGCCATCCATCCGTCCAGCTGTCCCTTCAGCTACAAAAACATTAGCCTTGAAGTCAGAAGCCGGAGTCGGGGCTCCCCAACTGACTCGCTTGCCCTGTGACTTTGGACACGTAACTTCTGTTACTGGGCCATGGATTAAGCGAAAAGATTGGACTCAGTGATTCCTTGGGTCCCTCCAAATCCACTCAGTGCTTCCCCGACTGCTTTGGGTTTGGCTTTTAAAAACATACCAGGAGCCCAACAGAGGCCTGCTGCCTCTGCCCTACCCCCGCCAGCCCCCGCCCCCTGGCCCGGCGACCCCGGTGCGCCCCACGGCAATGCAATCTGAAAGCCATGGGCGAACCCAGCCATCGAGGAGAGCAGGGAGCGGAAACAAAGCCAGAGGCTCGGGCTTCCTCTGCCACCTGGACGGAAGTAAGGACAGGTCCCAGGAAGACAGGCACCCCCTGAGCCACCTGACAAACCCAGGGAGTGGGTGCTCAGAGGCTCTGGGGAAGAAGGGGCCCCCGAAGGACCCGGTTCATCACCAGCGTCGGGGCAGGGCCTGTGCACTACAAAGAGGGCGGGTCCGCCTGTACCCGAATCAAATGGGGGGGGGGACCTGAGAGGGACGCACAGGGGTTAATGAGCTTCCGCAGGCAAAGGAGGGGCCACCCGCGGCGGCGGGGACGGAAAGTGTGTGTCAGCGGCTGCTGCGGTCTGAAGTCCTGCCCAGCGATCCGCTCTCTGCCTCCGCAGGAGCCGGTGACCTCGCCGCCGGTGGAAACAACGGCAGGAAGCGCCCCTCCCGTGAGAGCCCCGCGGCAGGAAGGAAGTGACCGCCTTGGAGCAGGGCCAGGCCCCCGGTTGCCCGTGGCTCCGGGAGGGGCCCCGCAGAGGCAGAGCCTCTCTCCATCCCGCCTGGACCTCCCCCCTGCACCCACCCCACCCCCACCTCTGGAAGGAAGGGCTCAGTTCCTTTGGAGCAAGAAACTCCTAAAAATAACCCCGTTCCCCCAGCCCTTCCCTCCCTGCGGCGGTGGCGCTCGCAGCGCGGGGCGGGGGCCAGGTCTCCCCACCACAGGGGCCCTACCATCGAGGGCCCCGCAAGGCCACACACGCCTGGGAGGAGCTCAGAGGCATCAGGGGCGACCCTGCTCTTCCCTCTGGGGCCTGCTACCTCCCGGGGCTGGGGCAGAGGGGGGAGAGGGAAGCCCAGGACTCCGGACCGGCCTGGGCAAAGCGCCGAGGGCAGCATGTGGAGAGAGCGGGCCTCCCCAGGGCTGCGACCCCACACGGGCGGCGGCTTCCGTCTGTTACGTTCAAGGCTGCATCCCCCGCACCTGGAACCCTAGCAGGTAGATACTAACGAGTCCGTAAATGTTGCCTGGGTACGTGAGCGAAGCTGAGGGCCCTGGAGAAGACAGGCTGCGAGCCCCCCACTCCCCTTCTGCGTCCCTGCGGGGCGCAGGAATGCAGCTGGGAGGAAGGAAAGGCTCCGCGTTCTGCAGAAAAGGAAACAGGAGGCAAAGGCTCTGTTGGAGGGGGCCGTTCCGAGCCACATGGCTGATGTCAGAGCTCAGGCCACGGGCAGAGCAGTGCTCGCGGCCCGCTGGTCGCCGGTACAGCGGGGGGCCCCGCACAGGCTGCGAGTCAGCGCTGAGCTCCCCTGCCAGCACCCCCCCCAACACACCACTCGACAGCTGAGACGCCACCTTGGAGATACATTAAAACAAAACAAAAAATGCAGCACAGCCCTCTTCCTGCTTAGCGCTGGGAGGCCTTTTCACAGCGACTGAAAAGAATGAGCATTTAGAGAAGAAAACCGCCTTCAGTGCCCACGGAAACGCAGGACATAGCCTGGGGCAGGGCGGACTCAACCGAGGGCAGAGAGGCCAGAGCCCGGAAGGGACTCGCGGAGCTGGACCGCAAGGCAGGCTGGGCCTGGCCCTGTCCAACGGGGAAGTCCCGCCGTCGGGGGGAAACCAGGCCGCGCACATCTTAATCTAGATTTGGGGTCCAGTCCCAAGCCCAGCGCTGAATAGCTGTGTGACCTTGAGCCAGACACTGGGCATCTCTGAGCCTTAGCTTCCCCGTGCGACATGGGACCAGGATCCAGAATCCTCCCACACAGGGTCCTGGGCGCTCGGCAGAAACAGCGAGCTCACAGCGCCTGGCCAGGCCAGACAGAACGGACGCGGGGCGCCGGCGCTGCCCGCCCCCCGCCCCCGCCTCTTCCCCTCGTTAGGTCAGTTTCCCAGGACGGAGCCAGCCTCTGCGCCCCGAAGCTCGACCCAGCCAATCGGCGCACGGGAAGAAGGTTTTGTCGGAATCTAGGAAAGAAAAAGGCAACATCGCTGCCCCTGTCCTACCGACCGAAGGCCTTGGAGTGACAAGAGGGGACAGGGTGAGGCCGGGGCCTGAGCCTCAAACGTGAAGTGGAACCGGACAGACGAGAGGCCCCAGAGGACCAGGACTGCGGCTCTTGACTCGGGGCAGAAGGAGAGAGAGCAAATAGGCCCCGAGGGCCCGCCTCTAGTCCTGAGGCCGCCGGCGACTCAGCAAGTGCCTCGGTCACATCCTCCGCAGCTGCTCATCCGGGGAAGCGGGTACGAGAAAACACGCGTGCTTGTTTCCGTGTCACCGACCACGGCTCACCTCGCTCAGTCTCAGCCAGCCCCTACCCACCGCGGAGGCTGGGGAGCCCCCGCTCCCGTCCTGTCCCCATGGCTGGGGCTGCGGGGAGCCAGGCGGAGCCTGGGAAGCCGGGAGAAGGGGCCCCAGGCGCTCTGCACGGACAGGGGCCAGGCTGGGTCGCCTCTAGAAGCCACAGCAGCCTGAGTCAGAGCGTCGGTGCTTCCTTCTTAGTGAAGAGCAGCCAACACTTGCAAGAAGCAGGAATGATGAATGCGACCTACCCCACGCTGATCAGATAAAGCCCGACGTTTACGAGGGGAGCGAACGGCCACAGAGCCCTTGCACCCCCAAACTCCAACGCTGGGGACAGTCCTTACCTGCAGTTCTGTGAGAGAAGGCTCCCCCGCTGTCCCGCCGCGGGACGGCTCGGCTGGCTAGGCCCGCAGAAGGGCGTCGGGGACCAGGACACACGTGCCAGCATCCTGCAGGGAGAAGCCAGAGGGACAGGGGGTGAGGCGCCTGGGAAATGGGGAAGCCGCGCCTCATCCTGAGCAGCGTCAGAGCCTGGGCATCCAGACATCCCAGGAGGGCGGGATGGGGCGCCCAGCCGAAGGCATGTCCGTTTGACCAAGGAGGCGCTCGTGGAGGCGGACGCCCGCGGCACTTCCGAGGGCTCCCCACGCGGCGGAGGCTGGCTCAGGGAGCCGGACCCACCCCCGCAGCCCGCGCGCGCAGCCGTCGTATCTCAGGAGCCCGGCTCCGGGCGCTCGGCCTCAAAGCTGAGGCTTTAACCCATCAGCCCCTGAGCCTGCAGGACCTCAGGTGGCACCGGCAAGGCGGGGGAAGAGCGGAAAAGCAGCCCGGAGTCGGGGGCCAGCAGCCAGGAGCATCACGGGGTGCTGCAACAGCAGGCTCTGCTGCCTCCCTCTCGACCCCGGCAGGTGGGCTGTGTGTGCCGGTGACCGGAGGCCCACCTGCGCCGGTGCCCGGGGCTGAGCTTGCGTACCACATGCAAAGGCAGGGAGATGGGCCTGCAGGGGGTCCCGGGTACAATCAGCCCGCGTGATGGGAGAAACTCCCAGGCTCTGATGAAACCACGCCCCAACCCAGGGCTCCCGCGGAGATGCCCGCGGCCCCGTCCGCAGCTCAGCACGGACGGCCACCTGTGAGCCCCGCACCTGTGCCCAGGAGGCGGGCCGCAGCCCAGGCGTCCGGGGACAGTGGCCAGAAGGCAGTGCCCGGCGGGCCGGGAACCCAGAAACCGGCTCCCTGCGCCAACAGCCTCCGCCACGGGCTAAGGCTGGTGCGGGGGCTCAGGAGCACCCGCCAGGGATGCCGGGGGTTGGCGGTCTCCACAGAGGGAAGAGGGGTGGGCGTCCGGCGGCTGGGTGGCTGCAGCCGGCAAAGTGATGAACCGCCAAGCGAGGACAGGCGGCGAGAGGAGCCCACGGGAGGGAGAGTCTAACTGGGGAGGCGAGGCGTGCGGGGAAGGCGCGGCGGTGGGAGGGGTGATGTGCCGGAGCCTGGCTCCGCACGCCCACCACCCAGCGCAGCCCCGCAGGCCCGGGGAGTCGCGGCTACTTCCGCCAGCTCCCCCGGGAGGGCCCGCAGGGTCGAAGCCCTGTCTCTGCCCGGCACCTGCCCCTCCCGTCCGCACGAACGGCCCCCTGCACACGCTGGACACCGGAGAAACAAGATGTCCCGCCGTCCCAGGTTCCAGGCACCCGCTGGGCATGCCGGGCCCTCCGGCTCCTCCTCCGATGTCCCACCAAAACCCGCAGCTCCCCACGCGGGCGCACGCCCCGCCCCTGCACGGCTTCTCCACGCTGGGTCTTAGCTTCGCCACAGCCCCTCCAGCCCCTCTGTGAGGTCCCTGTAAGTCTCCCCCTGTTAGAGGCGGCGGTTCTCCATGGTAACAGGCCAGTTCCAGGCAGCAGGACGGGCCAGCCGCCTCTCCCCGGGTGAGGAGGTCAATGGTGACTCAGAATGAGCCAGGCACGCGCGAGGGGAGCTGCTTTTGGTGGGGGGAGGGATTAGACGAAAGAGCGTTGGAAGTGGAGAGAGGGAGCGCTGGGTCAGCTTAAGGAGGGAGGCTGCTCCGGGGGGTCGGGGCGGGGGTGAACAGCTGGAATGAAGTAGGAAGCCGCTGCCAGGTGACTGGAGGCTCCCCCGGGGACCCGGCACACAGGGCGAGAAGCCCATCGGCCTGCTCCCTTGAGGGGGAACGAAAAATCAAAACAGCACCCTCCTGTGCCGGGGGCACGCGCCATGCACGACCGTGGCGGTGGGGTCGTGGGGCGGGGTCCTGACCTAGCCATAAATAACACACGCATCTTGTTAATCAGGAGCAAAAGAAAACATTTTATTCCTTTATATCCCCCCCCCCCGTTTTATTGAGGTATAACTGTAATATTGTAACGTATCGTAATATACTTAAAGTACACACTGGGACTATACGATATGCATCTACGCTGTGAAAGGATCCCTCCAACCTTTATTCCACACACCCACTGCCGCCCACATTTACCTTTTGGAGGGGGGTGAGGTAAGTTCTCAGCAAATTTCGCTTCCTCCATACAGTATCATCCGCGAGCCTCACCGGGTTGTGATCAGACTCTCTTTTAAGTTTTAAGCCTCAATCTGCCACATGCCCCTCGCACGCTTGGGGAAAATTGCAGGGAGTAAACAACCAACCAACCAATAAAACCAGCCTCGGGAGACAGGAAGTCCGGATCGCCTTCCCCACACTTCCCCACACTTCCCCTGTCCCGGACATTGTTTCGGTCAGCGGCCGTGAACCGGTATGTGAGCCGGTTTCTCGGTACGATTTCTATTAACAGGACACCGGTCTCCTCTCATGCCCACTAAATAAATGCCTGGCACATGCTTCACGGGTGCCGCCCCGGCGGGGAGCCGAGCTGCTGGCGCGTCCCCGTGCCTCAGGCTGGCCCTGGTTGAACGCGGGAGTTCCGAGGGAGCGGGTGGTGGGGAGACTGAAGTTGAACCCTTGTTTCCTCTCCGTTGGCATGGAGACCGGGAGGCAGGTGGCAAAAGACCGGGCAGAGGAGGACAGCCGCGCGCGGCGGTGGTGGCAGAGCCAACGGTCCAGGCTGTGGGCTGTAGGTTGGGCCGGCGGCACAGCCTGGGAGGCAGGGCTCCTAATTTTTTGTTTTATTGAGGTATAATTCTCATGTCCTAAAATTCGCCGGTTTACAGTGTACAGTTCAGAGGCCATTAGTCCATTCGCAAAGTCGTACGACCATCGTCACTCCCTAGCCCCGGAGCCTTCCCGTCGCCCCCAGAAGCAGTCCATCCCCGCCAGCACCACCCATCGGCCGCTGCCCGCACCCTCCTCGTGGCCCCTGGCGACCGCCACCTGCTCTCTGTCTCTGTGGCTCCGCCTGCTCTGGGCACTTCTGACGAGGGGAGTCACGCACGTGGCCTTTGCGTCCGGCGTCTCTCACTCAGCATCACGTTCTTGGGGTTCACCCGCATTGTGGCGGGTGTCAGAGCTCCGTTCCTTTTCAGAGCCGAGTGATACTCCCCGGGAGGGCCAGACCACGCTCGCTTACCCAGTCGTCCGCTGGGGGAGACCAGGGCTGTTGCCGCCCTTTGGCTGCCGAGAATAAGGCTGCTGTGGACATTTACGTACAAGCTGCTGCGTCGGTGTCTGTTTCCGATTCTTTTGGGTACGTACCTAGGAGTTCCTAATTTTTTGATAAAATAACTTAAAACAACTAATACATCAGCATTTTTGAGACGATAACCAGAGTGCCGGGCAGGGGTGCGTCTCTCCTGTCCCAGCTCCCGGCGCCCAGTCCCTCCCCCGGCGACAGCCTGCGCACACACCCTGCCGTACGCGAGAGACGGCCGTGGGGGGCGCGGCCCCCGGCGAGGCCGAGGACAGCACCAGCCCCGCGACGCTCCGGAGAGGGCGCAGGGCCCAGCTGGGGCCCGTCTCCGCCCTTTGTGCCTCTGGGAAGCCCCGCAGTAGGGAAGAGGTGGCACCACTGCGTGGCCGGAAGGAGAGGGCCTGGAGGTGGCCGGGTCTGGACATCTGGCTCTGCTGTCCCTCGGCCCAGTGGCCTCAAACTTGGCCCGGTGCTCAGCCAGCTTCGCCAAAGGGCCGTGAGGAGCCCGTGGGCCAGCGAGAGCGAGGGCCCGGCACCGGGCCCGGCACACAGCACGCGCTCCACGTCGGCTGCCGCGTCCACCCTCTGACGCGGTCCTCCGTTTCCCTGTCTGGAAAATGGACGGAGGCGCCTCCCACGCAGCTGCGGTGGAGCCCACGTGAGCCCTGGGGGATGCCCAGCGGGCCCCGGCTTCTGCGCAGCTGAGCAGCTCGGCGGGAGGGGGCGGGCTGAGCCACGCCCCGCGGAGAGGCCAGGCCGGCCCCCTCGGCCTCCCGCCGCCCAGGGTCCTCTGCAGCCGCCCCGCACGGGCATCGCAGAGCCCACGCTTTGGGCCGGACGGCTGGCTTTCTGACTCCTTTTCCCCTTCCTGCCACCACCCCCTGCCCCCCACCTTCGGGAGCCATCTCTCTGCTTCCCAGCACGCGCTCCGGAGCTCAGCTCCCCTGGGAAGCCCTCGGGAGGCAGTGCAAACCCTGGGAGACCTTCGAAGTGGAAGGACGCGTTCGCGGGGCCATTAAAAGCTGTTAGGAGCGGCCCTCCTCCCGGAGCCCGAAGAAGAAGGTACAGACCCAGGCCCGGACGGGCGCACAGGGAACGGGAGCAGAGCGATGCCCCGCCCCCCGCGAGCACGCCCGAGTTCACGGGGGAAGACGCCCAGCATGCCCAGCAAGAAGGAGAAATTCTTAGCCCGCAGCAGCTGGTAGCGTTATGTAAAATCCTAGGCCCACAAAAATATCATCGGGATGATAAAAAGTTAAATTTAGCTAAGTACAGAGTGACTAATACTATGAGGGAGAGGCCCTGCACCCCCACCGTTGCCTGGAGCTGCTACAGCTGGCTTTCAGAAACTTCTGACAAGGAACCAGGGCTGGCGCGGCACAGAACAACAGATTATGTAACGAGAGGCGCAGCCGTCGCTGCGGCTCCTCGAGGGAGGGAGGGGCAGCTGGGGTCTGGCTGCAGCTTCGCCGACGGGCCTGCCTCTGGAAGCCGGGCCGTGGGAACCTGGCGTCCCAGGGGCCGCGGGTGGGGGCCAGGCCGGGGGACGTGCACGAGGGGCCCACCTGGCTCTTCCGCAAAGGCCTTTCCCAGCGCAGCTGTGATGGACGGTTCCTTTGGTGGCCCTGCCGAGCCACAGCCTTGCGGAGTCCCCTGCCGTGGGCCCTTGTCTGGCCCCGAGGCCTGTTGTCACCAACAGAACGAGGTGGAAGTGTGACTAAGTGGCAGGAAGGCAGAGACTCAGATGTCAGCCCGTTGGAGCGGATTCTCACCGCAGCACCGCCCACAACAGAAAACGGAGGGACGGCAGAGCGTCCTCCGCAGGTGACGGGAAAACAGCCCTCAGGGGA